CTTCTTTGTATGGCTGCCCCGTGACACCTGGTTCTCCGTTCCCCGGCTCCACGGCAAACCCCTACGATTCCTTTTTAACCTCCCTCCATCCCTCTCTCCCTCCTCCGCCGGTCACGGTGGCGATCGTACCCACCCCCGAAAATTGCTCGGACTACGACGAGCGACACGAGTCACGGATACGCTCGGAGAACAGCCGATGGTTGCCCCGCGATGTTGCACTCGTCGCGTTGTACGTTACACGAAGAGAATTGCAGGATGGAGAATTTGCGAGATGTCGGAAATCACTGCTAAATGTTCAGAGAGAGAGAGAGAGAGGGCCGGAGGGTGGATGTAAATCTGTTTGTCTACAACAGATGAAAATCTCTTTAGATAAATTTGTCTCCAACACTCGGAGAATACTTGGTTGAACTTGAGGAAACTTGAAGAAAGAAATTATTTGCATAAATCTGTTCCCAAGAAGAAGAGAGGGAAAGATATTTAATACAAATTTTTCAAATATACAACCAGAGATTTGTGGAGGTCGAAGCCCTCATCCTTAAGACAAGGGGATCACTTCTGGGGGATGGCCAACCGCGCGCAGCTTGTTTTTCGCAAAAGTCACCGGGAGTCCCCTGAGACAGATTACTTGCTCCGATGGTTTCGAAGAATAAAGAAGACAGAAGCAACCGGTCTGTCCTCCATTTCTAACCCTCGATCGAGGGTCCTTTCATTGAGAGCGATCGCCAAATCCAGGTGCCGTTCTTCGTTCCGCTACATCTTCGGAGACCTTCATATTTCACCCCATCAATGGCTCGAAGGAAGCCAAGGCGCAGGTGTGCTGACCAAGTCCATGTCGGATCTTTGCGATCTCTTGCGGCTACAAAGAGAACCTACAATGCGAATGAAAAACGAGTCACAAGCGGAACGAATTTCCTACCCCCCGCCTGGTTAGTGTCGGCTCTGTTGCACATTGAAACTTCCGTGAGCTCGATTAGAAGGTACACCCACTGCGAAAGGGCTGACACGCGACTGACGTCGGCGAAATGTGAAGGAACTCGCTGTCATTGTGACGACGTTCTTGGCGCGTAACGTGCGATTTGGCGCGCGCGCCAAATGAAAATCGTCGCGCCGCTCCGCGGCAGCGCGGAACGTGAGTCGCTGATTTTGCTTTCGTTTAATGACCGCGCTTTCCCTGCGCGTTTCCCTGCATGTCGCCGAGCGAAGTGTGTGGAAATTTTTAACGCGCAAAAGTACATTATAATCGACGCCGCGACACGCTGCCAGGGCGATGTCCGCGGGAAAAAAGCATCTCATTAACGCGTAACCACCGCGGCGGTCCTGAATAATTGATTCACGTAACGCGTAAAATTCAATCTTTCAATTGACTTGAATTATTGATTCGTACTATTGTAAGGATTATACAGGACCCCACGGAACACAATCAAGGGATCGCACTGGATGAATAGTTGAATGCTGAATGGTCCCGCAGAACTCGCAAATTAAATATGGCGGTAAATAATTTCGCGTGTAAATACCCTTATTAAAAATTAAGATGTATATAAACAGAAAGGGAAAGAGAAAACAAGAGAGAGAGAGAGAGAGAGAGACATATCCCCTCCCCGAGCATACCGAACATCCGCCAGATGTTTGAAGAAACACCGTCGAATCCCTCTTTAGGGAATTCCTCCGAGACACAATGTCGCACCTCGGATTCAGAGGGAAGTGCAAACAAGAATCTAATTACTATTATCGCCCGCTCCTCTGCCCCTTTCACCGCGTCTCCTTCCCCAGCCCCGAAAGCCCAGTGAAGCGTTTCCGGGAGGGCTCCGGGAGAGGGCGAGGGGAGGAGGAGGGGAAGAGTCTTTCGGTAGAGAATATCGATCGATCGACACCTTCTCGGTGACCCCGACTCGTCGACATGTAAGCCCGGCATTGCCTCGGGGATGCTTCGAGGGAACTCGTCGATAGCCACCGACAGAGGGAGGCGGTATCTCTCATTAATAACCGGTGACTCGGCGTTTATATAAATAATCCTACGCGGTCGCAGGCACTCACCTGCGATTCGGTCGATCGCTCACCATCCTGACATGAAAGAAGCTTCCCTCCCCTTGCCCGCCCCCTTGCCCCCGCAGTTACAACCGATCCATCCGCTGCCTCCGTCGCACTCTTTCGCTCGCTCGCTCGCTCGCTCGCTCGCGTGTCTATTCTTTCCTTTTCCGTTCGTGCCTCATTTTCCCTCTCGGATCGCCAGCGCACCTAGACATCCCTTTTCCTCTTTCTCTCTCTCTCTCTCTCTCTCTCTCTCTCTCTCTCTCTTTCTCTTCCTCCCTCATCCCTCTCATTCGCGTGCTCGCGCTCGCGCGCCCTCGAGCGCGGACTCCTCAATCGAAATTCCAAAAGGCACTAGAGCAGGACACACTACTATACTCTAGTCGCCGGCGAGTTTATGAATGCCCGCCTGCGACGTCCGGCCATTTATTTCGACTATGCTCTAATACTTCACCGCCGTAGAATGCTCACACCGACGTGCCAGCGGACACCTCGAGCGGTATCCACGCGAGTGGGCGAATGCGACTTTCTGCCGTCCGCGCGAGGACGCGCTTTTAAAAATTAACTTTGCACCGACTGTGCTCCAAGCCGCGCTCCCTCTTACGGCAGCACTCCGTCGGCGTCGTTGAGGATTTTCCCTCGTCGATGATGCGCTCGTTGTAGACGGTGGGGACGTGCGAGTTGAGAACAATGCGACTTCCTCGTAACTTACGGCATCGGAACGCGGAACGCCGTGGAATTCCGAGAGAGAGAGAGAGAGAGAGAGAGAGAGAGAGAGAGAGAGTGCGAAAAGAGACATTAAAACTGTTTTCCGTGGCATGATGCGTCTTCATAACGGCGTAATAAAAGTTTTCATCCTTGCAAATGGCTAAACTTTATTCGCGGGAGACTTCCCCGGCTCTCGCGGCCGCCCTTTCTGCCGCCCTGCCTCCGCTATATTCCCGCTATCCCCCGTTCGGTCGGTCTGCCTGCACTTTGGCCGGCGCAATTATTGTTTGTCCGGTTTACGACACGCGCGACGCTGACCGACAAGGGGAACTCGAAGAATGCAAGTTTGCCGCGAGAGATCACGATGACGTGGATCGGACTCGAGAAAAAACGGGCATACGTTGAGAAAAGGAAAGTTAACACTCATAAAAAGTATTCTATTTGTAAAATGATTTTTCCCATTGTCTCGTAGTCCGAGCGAAGTGTTTTATAGAAAAAGGATTCTTCTTTCCATAAAGCGATTAAAGTGACCAATTCGTCTAAAATTTATTAGATATTATTTTGTTTTTCTCTTATTTCAAGAGGATTTCCTCTTATATCAATTAATTTCCTCTTATATGAAGAGGAATATGTTGATTTGAATGTCGGCTTCTTTTGTTCAATCATGGGTCCACTTTTTCTCATGGGAACACTTTTTGAAAAGGATATGTATCTTGCTGTAACATGTAACGAAGATAATTTAGTCATAACAAAACTGATTGGAAATTTATTTGTTATGATGATCTTATTTCATTCGTGCCTACTTATTGTAAAACTGGAGCCAGAAGTACATCTATATATATATGTATTACTTTTCGCTATGCATTACAATAATTTTTTCAAATTGACCAGTATAACCAGTAAGAATAAAGTACACTAAGAATAAATAATAATCCCCTTAAAAAAGATTAAATAATCTGCATGTAAGAGGAAATTTATATTAAAATCAATAAGATTTACATTCCCCTCTAATCTTGCAATCCCTCTAATTTTAATAATAATATGTTTATAATATTTTCCTCTTAATTTTAGAGGAATCCTCTTGAGGCCATATGTAAGAATAAAATCCTCTAAAATTTAGATGATTCCGCTTGCTTTGAAATTACTTTTTTTTTTGCGTGAAATATACGTCGTTTCGAAGATGCGAGACGAGTGTCCAGAATTAATGACGGAGTGAAACGTCGTCGTGAAAATAAATTAACAATGCTAAGCACGATACAGAAGTTGGCTTTGTAGAAGAGCTTAGTTATTTGGTATTTGGTATTTGGGTTGTGTTATACCTTGCTAATCTGTGCAAAGCTCTTAATTTACTTACAGTACCTTTTCGGAGATCACTAAAGTACCGTTCAGTGACGCAACGCGGTTCAGTCTCCAACAAGTCAACGAATAACCGCGCAGGTCTGACGCGTTTCGTATGAACTGTCAATTTTTATCGGCTGTTATCATTCCACCGTAAAGTTTATCGCTTCCTCCGCGTAACAGCCGCGCTTCCGCTTGCACGTGGAATTTTTGCACCCTCGAGCGCAAAGTGCGAGCGCAATCTCGCGAATCTCAGCGGGCGCGTATTGCACCTCGCCGAGTGTCGGATACACGACGGAGGTAACCGCGAGCCGTTTATCTCCGTATTATCGCGGCTTGTCTTGGAGGGACCGCGTGCGTCTTTGTGTTGCGGGCGCGCATTTCGGTTTCATTCATGCCCGCCGCCGCCGCCGCCGCCGCCGTTTCTGACGTCGTAGAGGGTGCGGCTCGATCGCACCGTAAAATATTTAACGAGGTAGTTCGGCGAGACGTCTTTGTAAACGGTATGAATATCGCAATAAAATATATATGTATACCGCCTATATATATATATATATATATATATACATCGGCGTGGCGGCGAATATAAATTCAACGAGCTTCCGTCCCCGTCGTCGTCGTCGTCGTTGCCGGGCCGTTTCTTGCCGTTTCGTCGCCTCGTCGTCGTTCGATGTCGGCGTCGCGGTCGCCCGCGAAACTTCATAAAAGATACGATCGAGGCATAACGCGGATAATTTCTCTTAATACCCGGCGTGATGCTTGATCTGAGCCCTGCCCCCTTCCCCCCTCTTCTCCCCCTCGCTGCCGTGCCCCTTTCCAGTGCCTTTCGCCCGCCTCCGTTTTCCTCGCACGACACACCGTCGCGCGTGTGGAAGCTCCAGGCGATCGTTACTTTCTTCTTACGCGATTTCTCTCTATTGTTTCAGACGAGTCCCACGACTTGTTGCGGCGCACCGACCGGGGCCGGGACACGAGCATCGCGTGATCGGTGAGTGTTGTGACACAGATTTCGTTTCCTTTTGTTTCCTCGCAGAAAGAGGGAAGACACGAGAGTCGCGAAGGAGGCCCTTGGATGACGCGGCGGAAGTCGTGGAGCTTCGACGGGGAGGCAGGCTTCAGCTTTCGCGTTAATTTTGCATTTTCCTCACACGTGCGCGCGGTGAAACGTGTGCTGCTCACGCACAATTTCACACACTGTCGCGCGTGATCCTTCAACTCTGCGAAATTAATTTTATGCGAGTTGCGCGCCATTTGTCCTCCTGCTCGCGCGCGCGCGCATCGTTCGTTTCATACGCGAACATTTATATGCACGAGCGATCTCGTGAGCCCATTTCCTCCCTCCGTCTGCGAATATCGTACGCGGTGGCATGCGCGACGGCAATACCTCGGCGACAATACTTTTCGCGGGGCGAGCTAGCGAGAAGAGGATCGGAAGTAAATAAAGCGAGTACCGCCCCGATCGCGGCGGAATAAGCTCGCGAGGAGGCTCGACGCGAGCCTCGCGCTTCCTCCAGCCGTCCGTCGTCTCGCGGAGTGACTGCGCTCTGACGCGATCCAACCGATCGGAAGTTAAATCAAGGCCAATTACGCGCCAAGTAACGTCGCGTCGCGCGCGTGATGAGCGCGAAAAGAGATACGAGGCTCGATCCCGAGATAAGCGCTATAGCCATTCTCTCTCTCTCTCTCTCTCTCTCTCGCGCGCGCGCGCGCGCGCACTTGGGTCGATTCCGAAAAAAATCGGGGCTGAACAAAAGAGCCGGGAAAGATCAGTTCTCCATTCGTTTGCGCCTTTCTTCGTCTCTCGGCGGTTTACCGATCCTCAAGAACCTTCTACGCGTCTACCGCGTCGATTCGCGATGTATGGAGAGCAAGAGGAGGAGGAGGAGGAGGAAGAGAAGGGGGCGGAGGAGGAGAAGGAGGAGGAGGAGGAGAAGAAGAAAGAGGAGCAAGAGGCGGAAAGAGGTTGCCGGGGGAGGAAGGGCAGCGGGGCCAGGGGGAGAGGGCAAGCAGGAAGGCGGCGGCGAGCGGTTGGACGGAGCGAGGGGTAGCGGGGCACACTCCGAGGGTGGAAGAGCATCCCTCTTGATGGCGTCACCTCGAGGGCCCAATTAGCGCCAGCACGAGTGTCATTTCGTCGCGGTTTCCGCATACTGGCTGCCGTTGACTGGCGTTTTCTGCCAGCGCGGTTTCGTTTCTTCCACGTAGACAGTTATATGGCGTGCGTGATGAGGTGGCTGCATTTCCCGAGCGAGGCTGGGGCTGTTGCCGCCACCCTCTCGCCCTCCTTCCCCCGCCCTTCGCCCCCCCTTCCTCCCCCCTCATAGGCTCCTTGTGCCGATCTCTTCCTCCCTCGCCTCCTCCTCGCGCGCCCTCGGGGATTTTCTTCCTCTTTTATCCGCCGCCTCCGTCGCCGCCCTCCGCCTCCCCCGCCCCCCTCCCCGCCGCCCCTCGCCTGCTGGCTTTCTCGCCGACGGGGCCCCGCGACGAGTTGCATTATCCAATTTTCTAGCAGATATTTCGTGATATAATAATTGGACATTCAGCGCGAAGCGCCACCACCGCCCCCGCTGTCGCCTCCGTCGGTCCGTCCGTCCGTCCGTCCGTCCGTCCGTCCATCCGTCCGTCCGTCCCGGCCGCCTCTCACAGCTCGGCCCCGCTTTCAGGACGAAGGACGGTTGAATTATATTTCCCGGGAGGAGCGAGGAGAGAGAGCCAGAGTCAGCCAGCCAGCCAGCCAGCCAGCCAGCCAGCAGCCAGCCAGCCAGCCAGCCGGTGGAGGAGGACAGGCTGGCAACGCGATATCCCGCGATGCGCGGCGCGGGCTATCAATAGAAACATTTTCCATCGGCGCGGAACACGTCGGATAGTTGTGTGCGCGTGTGTGTATGTGAGTGTGTGTGTGTGTGTGTGTGTGTGTGTGGGGGTGTTTTACCCCACCCTTCCTCCTCCCTCCTGCCCGCCGCCGTCTTTTTCCGTTACTTCTCGCGGCTCGCTTCCTCTTCTCCCGCTGCTGCCCCCGGCCCCACCTCCCTCCGTCCTCCTACGGCCATGTCTTCATCCCTTTCATCCGTTCTGCTCGGTTCCTCGGTTATTTCCATAACGACACTTTATGCAACGTTAATTATTGTCGGCGTAATGAGCTCGAGGAAGTCTTCCAAGACGCAGCAGCCTCGCGGCATTCCCCTCTCGTCGTGCGTCCTCTCTCTCTCTCTCTCTCTCTCTCTCTCTCTCTCTCTCTCTCTCTCTCCCTCTCCCTCTCCCTCTCCCTCTCCCTCTCTCTCTCTCTCTCTCTCTCCCTCTCGCTCGCTATTTCTCGTTCTCTTTCTCGCTCCACCGTCCACCCACCTTCCGCGCCGCTATCTTTCTCCTTTCCTCTAGTTAGCAGCGCCGAGTGTCAAAGGGTTCCTCTCTCGTCATTCTCGGGACGGATACCTCGCGAATCTCCGCATCACCGCGTACTTCCACGGAGCTGATCTCGTTAAGAGACTCGTTCTCGTTCACGCCCCGCCCGCTCGCGCCTTGTTAGCACGTCTCTCGGGGAGTTCACCTTCCATTTTTCCTTTCCGGGATTGGGTGGCGCTAGATCGCTGAAAATGCGATTTAAGGGACGTTAATGTTCCTCGTTGCGATGGTGCCATTTACGCGGCCCGGGCGGATAATAATTTCACGGCGGTGGAGAACGGCGTGCGCACAACGCGCGATCGCGAATTCATTTTCCGCGTGCTAATTTTCTCCTTTTTTCCTGTTTCTTTTTTCTTTTTTTCTTTTTTGTTTATGTATGAATAAACAGATTGCGCGCGCTCGCGCGGAACATTAGCGACGCTGGTTAGCAAACTCATAAATTACCGTGAATCGCCCGGCACGTTTTAATTAAATTATTAATTGCCTCGCCGAAAACACGTGCCTTCGCGTGAGGCGCAAGTTCAGTTCTTCATTTGCGCCCTGCAAATTCCTTCGAGCTCGTGGGGTCAATTGAGGATCTCGGGATGTAATATTTTGCACGCTATTCTTCATTTCATGCTACAAATAGTCCTTTCTCGCGTTGAGAACTTGCACAACAACTCGCGTTGAGAAAATTATTTTATACTTATTCACGTCGCATTCTGCCTGCATTTATTCTTTTCTTGATTTCCACGAATAATGCGTGTTAATTGTGCGACCTTCGGCTACAGCCAGCTACAGTATGCATGATAAGCAGATATTAAATAATTAATATGAGTGCATAAACGGGAGTGGATGAAACATTGTCCTTCCTCATAATCTGTTTATTATAATTTACTTATCGACGTTGGAAATTCGAACGGGAAGAAGAGAAAAAGTTCTTTGATATCAAGGATTTTTGATATCATCGCAAGATTCGTGCTTCAAAAGAGATGTCTCTTAAAAGAGCGATCTTTATGTGGCAAGTCCGTGGTGGGACTAGGGTTGCCAAATCCAAAAGTAAAAATTACCGGACATTTCTCCTTTAGTAACAAACCCAAACCGGACAGAAATAATAATCATAACGTTATATTAAATACAAAATACGACAAGAATTTATTTGCAATATTAATTTCCAAACAATTTCATAAACAAGATTTGATATAAATAATGGATAAAATAATAAACTATTACTTTTTTTAATATATATGGAATGATGGATCGGCAGATCATCTACTGGATGGCTTTTCGTGGCGCTCGGTCGTTTGTAGAAACGCTTGAGAAACGGAGAAATGTTGCTAAAATTTGGACTCTCATTCCATTGATTGAATATAACTTGAAAATCGGACATATGACGCCCGGTTTGATTTGTTAACCGGACACTGGACAAGACAAGTTGGCAACCCTAAGTGGGACTCGCGTGGGATCGCTTCGCGGTGGGTCCGGAAAATATTTCGTCGGGCTCTCGTCGGCATCGCGCGATCATCGCCGCGCGTCGATCTGCCGCGGTCGAGTCGTATCTACGCGAGTATCGATGCCAGTGCGGCAGCGCCGCTGGACGAGGTATTCGGAACAGCCGGGAGCTGAATGTTCCTCGGAAAGCTAGGACGGAGAAAGCAGGGCGCCGCGACGCGGGCAGCGGTACGTCAAGTGTATTTCGAGGCATGCCGAATCATTTATTACGCGGGACATTTCCGATTCGAGCGATTATTTGACGAGCCCGCCGAGAATAAGGAGGTGCCCGAGTCGAAATTTAGGTCGGCTTTCATAGTCTCTGTTGTCGTTTGCCAAACAATCGAAACTTGCTGAATATTCGGCCCGACTCGTCTCGAGCGATCGAGTTACGATCCGCGAGTACGAATCGACTGCGATCGACTACACTTTTAATCAGACACGGCAAATATTACAATTCGCACGACTGTGAATACCGCCGTTGGAATCTAATATAAATCTGCCAAGTGTTGATTTCCGCGTCGAAAAGCGCTCCTTCAACCCCCGCGAGCTGTTGACAGGTACTTCTTTTCACCTCCGTTCATCATTGTCGTAGCGTCAAATTCGGATTTAAATATCCATCGGTGTGCGGCATTATTGAACATACAATTGCTATATCTGCCCTTGTACATACAATTCGGCTCTCCTCTTCGCCTCTTTTGACCCTCCAAATCCTATTGAAACGTCCAACCGACACCAATGAAAAACAAATAATCAAGGGATTATGAATAAAGGAAGTTTATTATTTCATTCACCTCTTAATATGCCGTTATTTACTCATATCGAGTATTTTATTCTTGTTATCAGGCACATTCTACCCGCAGCAGTTTACGCGTTTAATATATCGCGGATCGAATTAGGAATAAAAATTACACGCAGCCGGGGAGAATCGAATATTCGAAAGTGACAGTAGGCATTAGGATTGCTCGCAGTGGCGAACGACGACAATCGCCTGCATGTTCTGTATCTGGAAATTCTCCATCGACCCTTCAAGTTGGACGTAATTTGCGTGATTATAATGCGCCGGCGAAGTCTCGTCCTGGCGAAGCCTCGAAATCAAGCTCTCGCTACCAGGCG